CCTAGTTACGCCTACGTCAGCCACGATTGGCAGGGTATGGCAAAAAGGGCGATGGGACGGCGGTCAAATCACCTTTTTACCATCCCCTACTGACGGTGCAGAGACTACGGTTCCCTACGGACGCCCATTCCGCACTTTTTCACCGGAATCGGGTACGACACAAACCACCGAGACCCCTGCGTCGTACACAGGTCACCTCCGAGGCATCGGCACGATCAGCTCCAGCACCCGCTAGGCCTCAGCACTCCACCAGGACAAGAGTCCACCAGGCACGGCATGTCACCTACAGTGGAGGCCATACTGACTAGACGACAACAAGGACTCTTACGACTTCAACAGCCTCGGGCATGGCCTGCGTGGCACCGGTGATCAAGTACCAATTGCCATTTCCGACACTGTGTTGCTACAGGAATAGGCCACAGTACTGGATCTTCCTTTCTCGCTAAGGCTCCACGTGTAGCTCTCTCATGTACTCCTGGCTCCCTCCTTGTGGCTATAAAAGGAAGTAGCCAGGGCCGTTTCTAGGGATAAAAAAAACCACGCCAGCCCTCACGTAAAAACGCACTCACTCAATTCACGCGCGCTCCCACGCTGTCTGAGAGCAATGACTCAAGCAGCCCGCACCATTCCACGCCGAGACCTGGGACTAGCTCCCTCTCTCACCCAGCTTGTAACCCCCTACTACAAGCACTTCGGTGTAGAGAATACAAGATCGAGCTCCAAGACTGGACGTAGGGCGTCGATTGCCTAAACCAGTATAAACCTTGTGTCTCTTTGCATCACCATCTGGGATTAGGGGCACGCAGTTCACATTTACTGGTTGGTTGAGGACCCTCCGGTCCGAAACGCCGACAAGTACTTTCTCCTCTTTTTTTTCGAAGTCCTCAACCTCTTCACCCTTGCTTCCAAGTTGCTAACCACAGTGTGTAGAACTTATGTGTACGTGTGTTAGCATTTTTCAAAGTATTTTACAAGGGTCAAAGTTAGCACACTAAGTTTCTAAATGCATATGCAAGAGTCATGTCATCTAATGGCACTCGATAACCACTTAGCCAAAGATTTCCCCTCTTTATAGTACGGCTATCGATTCTAAATGCACTTACACACTATATGATGCCTTAAGTGCCAAAACAAAAACCTATCTTATATCTTTGCCTTGATCTCCTTGGTTTTTGTTTTTCTCTTTCTTCTTTTCCACATATGAAGCACTTGATCATCTTTTGGTCATCACCATCCACCATGATCATCATCTAGCTTCACCACTTGGATTGGACTACCTTATCTAAATCACATACTTATATCAAATGTTAGTCCTATGTTTCATCAATTATCCAAAACCAAATTAGGGCTCTCAGAAGCCCGGGCACCACCTAGTATATATAATCCTCTGACACTGAAGACTGAACTCAAATAATCCAGTTTCTACTAGAGCTCTCACAATGCAGCAATGCAAGAACTACATTTGAACTATGCAACAACATTCAGAGTTCCTAAAGAAACATTCATAGTTTTTATACAATGTTATTTTTTTTATAGAAGTAATCCTGTTTTTATGTTATTTATTGGGTGAAGTTTTGAGCAGGAACAGATGAAGGATTGTCTGGATTTGCATGTTCTACCCCATCTGCATCGAGCAACTGTAGATGAACTTCCTTGTTCTGAACCGGCCTTCTATGCTGGCGCATAACACTGGATTATTTTTGGATTATTGCTGTTCTTGTGATGTAAAAAAAGATGTTCTCATCATCTGTAATGAAGAACTGAACCGGCCTTGTTGTGATGATGTGACTTGAGACTTGACTTATTTTTACAATTTGTAAGGCCTCACGTCCTGCCTTTTTTTTTATATATATAGCTTTCTGGTTTGTATTGGTCCTGGCATGATTAGAGAGCTGCAATAGACTCTCTATTCCACTTACCTGTGAACGGAAATTCAGTGATTTGCAATTGTTTCTTTCATATATGTTGTTTGGTTTTTAATATTTTTTTTACTTGCTCACGGATGATCTGACATCTACAGTTTTGTATTTACTGTGGCATGGACATTTCTATTAAATCTCTGTTTTTAACTTGCTTGTGCTCACGGATGAAGTATAATCATTATTTACTTGACTGTGCATTTGTTTAAGAGCGGCAACGCTGGTTGCATGTGCGCCCGTGCTCAATTCTGGTGTATCGGGTAACCCACCGCATCTGTGGGTCAAGCAGTGGGTCAACCCAAAACCCAAAAAATATTTAATGGGTCGTTTGGGTTAGACACTGGTTGACCCACTGTCGACCCACCTGCATCGTGAGGAATGCTACTGGACGAGCACGAAGACCGCAGGAACAGGTCGCACCAAACCACCCCGAAACGACTGACGTATCTAGCGGTTTGGCCGCACCGTCTCCCGGCAATCTTCCCTCAGGCCTCCGAAACTAACCAGCACCTGCCGCCGCCGCTCGAAATCCTAAACCAGCCGGCCGCTGCTCCTCCGTACCCTCGCCGGACCGCCGCCGCCGCTGAGCATCGTCATGAGCCGGCACTCGGAGCAAAACCCCGAAGCCGGGGCGCAAAACCCTCGACCTGAGTTTGAGGGGCAAAACCCTGAACCCTGGGCGCAAAACCCTCGCCCTGAGCTCGAGGGGCAATATCACGGAGCGTCGGCGTCCTCTGCTTCTCACTTCCGCCCATCTCGCCCTTCGCTTCCTAATACCGCCGCGTTTGGGCACGTCTACACCACCACCACCCTTCCGCCCATCACTTTCAGTTTCGGACCAGATGGGTCGCCACCACCGCCACCACCACCACCGCTGCCACCAGGACCGATACCCCAACAGCCTTCGGTTCAACACCCACAGACACCACCACCACCTCTCTCTCCACCACGGTCACTGAAACCCCAACAGCCCTCGGTTCCACGCCCACCCAAGCGCCATTGGGAAGAATTGGAGCAGCCTCCAGTTCCAAAGAAGGTCAAAACGGTGACGCTGACACTGAAGTATATGTTAGTTGTGGATTACTTGTACCTCATGGCCACGTGAAAACAACATACCAGGGGGCTATCGTGTTGGATGGATTTGTGTTCTTCTTCAAGCTTCACGAACGGGGTAAAAGTTATGGCGGGAACTATGACTTGATGAGTGACATGCTTGTCGCAGCAGAGGATCCCCTACATGTTACCATCAACAAGGCAGCTACTCTGGAAGCCTCAATGGAGAACAGACACAAGGATCTGTTGAAGCTGGTTGATTCTCTAGTTTTAGTTAAAAATGAAACCTGCTATATCTTGAATAGATGAGAGGTTATTTGGCCTGATGATTTGGTATTTTTATTCAAGTGTACGTGAATTTGTGATAAGAGCTACATATTTAATGATGAGTGCAGTAACGTCTAGCTCAAATAATATTATCGTCTCCCTTTATTTTTTTGTTACAAAATTATTTAGAAACATATTAACCATTAATTTTGGTGGTAAGCAAATGAGAATGAGACATGGGAGTAAGATCAATTCACATGTAAATATATAAACACAAATCCTCTAGGCTTTCATGCTTTCAGACTACAGATAGTAGGAAGTGACTAGGTAGGAAGGATGGTTGTCTTAGACAGCCTCTATCCTCATTTATAGGGCTATTACACATTCTAAGATTACTCCTAAATATTTTTCTTGAACCACTTAAGCACATGGGCGAAATGGTCCAAGTTGAGTTCCTTGCATCGCACGAAGACACTTCGTCTCGACGCAAGCTCTCCGATGATGACACGTTCCGTCCCGAGATCCTGTCCCGGGTTTTGAGGCCCAAACCCGGCAAACCTGTCGCCCATGGTTTTGAGGCCAAAACCGTCAAACCCAAGTAGGCGTATCCACTGCGTATCTTCCACGATCTCGACGCGTGTCACCACTCGTCCTCAACCGCCTGATCACCAAGTCATCGCGTACCCGCCTTAACTTGGTCTACTCGACTTCGGGCAATACCGTCTACGCCGTTTCCACATATACACTTGCTTGTCGACATCACCAAGTGCTAGCCGTCCATAGTCCATCCTCTCCTTGGTCCCTCGGTCCAAGCCTCCACGTCTGTCCTTCACCACTCTCAGTCCATCTGCACGAACTCGCTTGACCTTCTCCATTGCCGTTGACCGTCTCAACTCTTAATGCCTACACATCACATGACAAAGAGACATGTTGCACACATCAGTACTCACGCCATGGTTAGTCTCAACATTAAACCAAAGCTCGATCATCTCTTGACAATCATTCATCACTCATCCACATGGGCACATATCCACCATGTGTTTGCACCTTCTAAGGACTGACAAACCAAACTCTCGTTGCCCTTCGTGACACTAGATCAAACGCCTTCGAGGTAAAGAGGTCCGAGAGACCTTATTCTAATGCACTATATTGTCGCCACCACGCCTGTCGACGACCCCTGATGACTTCTAGATGAAGAAAGATCAACAAAACTTAAATCTACGAAGAGAGGAGGGCGATCTAGGCGGTGGCACGGGGAGGGCAACGATTGTTTTAGAGGAGGTATCGAGTCCTGGTAAGGATAGTGCAAAGTCTTGTCATGTTATATTCTTTATTAGTTGATCCCGTGGTTACTGGGTTAAACATGATGCCTTAAGTATTTGTTTATTTTGTATGATCCTGCCTGCATCACATAAAACATCTACAGGAATAGGACCAAGGCTCAAAAACAAGTGAACATGCTACTAATTAAGTTGTCAATGCGACGTCTGAAGGTCAGGCGACAATAAAATTAAACTCAGACCTCTTAATTGATATGTCCCCTTCAAACTTTGAAGAAGGGGAAGAGCCGAAGAGAGCATGCATAGGAAAAGCGGAATGTCAGGGAATCATAAATTGGTTCAGAAAAAAATTGTGGCATAAAAGGTATTCTCTTTCGATTATTCTTTCTATGTAAATTGAAACATACTCGTATTCAAATCAAATTATATATACAGCCAATAGTACACCACCCGTAAGGCCGTAATAAACACAGCATATATTTCAGATGCCAAGATTTGGCGCGAATTTCCCAAGCACGGGCCTCCCTGCAACAACGGCGGCCGCTGCCAGGAGACCCCCGACAATGCCGCCGACGATGGCAGACCGCGGCCCGCCCGGCATGCGATAGAGCGCACCGGTGCCGACCCCGGCTACCGCGGCGTTGATCCAGTCGTCCGCGCCAGACCTGCACCCGCTGACGCCAGACTTGGTGGCGGAGAAGAGCATCGCGATCACGCCGAGCCGGTTGCCGTAGGCGCGGCCCGCGGAGCCGCAGCTGTTGAGGACGCGGTTGGCGCGCAGCTTGAGCGGCTCCCCGCGCTCCGCCTCGACGGCCGCGCGGCGGAGCCCCGGGACGGCGCCCGCCGCGGCGCCCGTGAGGTAACCGACGCCCGTGCACAGGGTGAGGTGCTCGCCCCAGGTGAGGCCCTTCCGGCGCGCCTCGTCCTCGAAGAGCATCTCGGGCGACGTCGGGAGGTCGTAGAGCGCGCGGTACGCCGGGTGGGGGAACGCGATGCCGCCGCCGTCGTGGTCGTGCTCGGGCAGAGCGACGCTGGGGAACGCGATGCGGCGGGCCGGATCCATCTGCCAAGTGCTGTCGCGGGGGTCGGCTGCAGGGATGGCGCGCGACATGGCCGATCGATTGAGGCGCCGGCGTTCGGATCGGACGGAGAGACGAGGCAAAATCAGCGAGACGAGAGGCGGCGCGGGCGTCTTGCGATTGGTCGTGGTCTTGTAGCGTCGCTGGGTTCAGGGTTTATCAGTGCGAGGCCGACGGGACGGGACGAGACCGAGTTGGACTCCGGTGCGGGTGCGGGTGCGTGTGCGTCCCCACTGATACGAGTAGGACTGGACTAAACTGGACTGGAAGGGAGTAACCGCGTCGTAATCGGAATACAAATACAAATTATTTTACTGCACTGCTAGTATCCGGATAATTTAGCTCTGCGAGGTTGGTCACATCAAATTTCTTGTGTCCTTTCCAATGGCCCTTAATGACCTGTTTGTGAAATAAAAGAATACAAATCAGAGGAATGAAAAAAACACGGAAATAAGATACACTGAATCATAGGCGGACCCAGGGCCCAGCGACCTTGGGCCCTTGGCCGGGCTCCTCTCTTGATAGTCCCTTAGGGCCCAGTATACGGCCCATTAGCTGAGCATGATTTATTTGGGCTGGGAGCTGTGTACTAGGAGCTCACCGTTGTCTCGCCTGGGCTGCTGCGTTCCTGAGTCTGCCTATGCACTGAACAGTGAAAACAATAGGATTCAAAAACATAAAAATAGATACTTTGAGCTGTTGGAATGGAGGAAAAAAATATGAAAACATAAGAAAGCATAGCAATAGAGAGCAAATTTCCTTTCCTTTCCTTTGGAAAGAAACTCAACTTTCCTCCATTCCAAATACCATAATGTATTTCTTTTTTTGTGGAACTTATTCCTTCAATTTTTTTAATAATCCTTTTGATCCAAACAAGATCTAAACTAGGTTATACCTGTGCCTCCTTTGTCCTTTTTCACTCATGATGTGTAGTCGTCGTTTCTAGCCTGAGAACATATTTTGATATTTGCCATCATATATTTAGCAGAAGATTGTCCAGAAGAAGAAGCTAGGTTCCCTGAGCTTCTGGAATATAGAGACCCTAATATTCCCGATAAGCTCAGGGAACTTAGCTTCTTCTTCTAGACACCAAAAGACTATTATGCCTCTCTCTTTCTTCCATAGCAACAAACATAAAAATCAAAGAGTGAGGGCACTATGGTAATTTTTCTCTAAAAAGTTGTCCACCTCATCTTTTATAATCCATAGATCCAAACAGCCTCACAACTTAGCTTCTATAATCTGCTTTTAGAAACAAACTTCCACAATCCATTGGAGTATCCAAATAAGGCCTTAATTAAGCAGCCTTTTTCTGTCCGGAAGTCCCCTATCCTTTGGCGTTGTTACTTTTCCTGAGTCTTTCTTGTGTGGTTGCATTTTTTCTCTGTGCACGGTTGAAGGAAGCCGACAGTCAGTTGCAGTGCTCCTTGTACATTGGACTAATGCTATGTCTATTTCCAAACTTCTATTATTTCTGTTTTTTTTGCCCTTTTTTGATTGCTGCTTTATAATTTTGAACTAAGAAAATCGAGAATAGAAAAAGTTCTTGCATAGAACCAGGGGCGAAGCCACGTTAACTTTCCCTGGTGCACGTGCACCAAGGTAAAGCAAAAATTTGTTAATATCTGTTTCAAATTTTCCATATATTTCCTTTAGAAATGTACACGCTCCTTTATATTCAATAGAGTGTGCACCAGGGTCATTTTTAGCTGGCTTCGCCCCTGCATAGAACAATTATAAGCGAGTCGATTATAAGAAGAAACAAATAGCTTTAGCTTGCCCTAGCTTCTTGACCATTTATTTGAAAAAAATAGATGTCTCGCAATAGAATTTTCTTTTTATTTGAGTTGAAGGGCCCAGGACGACACAATGGACTAGTGGGTCTTGCGTCATCTGGCCTGCGCTCAGATTCGTTTTTGGGCTGGGCTAACGTTAGGTTGGACTAACATTGACATGCACTCGAAGCGTCTCATTCCCCTGCTACAGTGGAGACAGGCGACTTCGAGGCGATTCTCGCTCCCACCGCCGGAATCGCTGGCTCTCCTCGCCGCCGGTGGCCTTTGTGGCGCCGGTGTGCCTGGAGAGTCGGTGATCCGGTGGGTGGTGTACATTAGAGTACTTCTAGTTAGGTTAGGGTTAGGGTTCTTTGTTTCGACGTCGGTGATGCGAAGGCGAGCTTATCCCAGTGGCCTAGGGTTTAGGCGCCGTGTCTTCTGGGGATGGAGCTGTGAGGTATGTTTCCTCCTACCTTGAGAAATCGGGTTGGAGTCTCCCTTTTGGTGTCGTTTCGTCGCTGGTTGCTTGGAGGTCGCCAACACGTCTTGAGGCGTCGGATCTCCTTTCTCTCGGCGACGGATTGCTCGGGCGTTCAACAATTCAAGTGTGCATCGGCTTCTTCGGTGTGCCAACTGATGTAGCGTTTAAAGTGTATGTCGTTTCTTCAGAAGTTCCTTCGTCGAGCTGGGAATCGGCTTCAAGTTGCAGCTTTGGCGCTCCTCTCTTCGTGAGACGGCGCGTCGAGCGGCGACTCCGGTGGCCGGCGTTGAAGATAACCGGAAAGTCTTACAAGGACTTGGATGTAATTTTGCTTTTATCAGGGGTGTCTTTGTAAGAAATGCATGTAAACTTTTATATCAATAAATCTAATGCCACCCGGTTTCTAAAAAAAGTATATTATATTTGATTTACTTTGGATATTTATGGCAGTGAATATGTTAAGTTTTTTTCAAAAAAACTAAATAGGTTAAGTATGAAATATTTGGCTCTAATAGTATATTTTATGATGAATCTAATAATATTTATTTGATATCATAAATATTAGTTTTTTCATATAAAATAGTTTATCTTAAGATTGTTTGATTTACGATACGAGACCGATGATGTAGTATATATGACTTTTGTTATCCATCTGGCCAACCCATATTAAATTCCATATGCAAAAAAGATTCTAGTTAACACTTTTGCTATCATAAATATTAGTTAACTGGTGTTGTACGAACAAATAAATAAACAAAAACGTCCAGGTCCTTGCCTGGCTGGCGAGTACGAAGCAAACTCATATGCTGATGTCTGGAGAGAAAATAAAAACATCACATCTCTGCTGTGTATTTATATAGTACTACTCCTATACAACTGTATATGCGTCCCCTGTCCAGTGGCAAACCGCCGTATGCATGTGGCCTCATCACATGCTAATCAGTGACCATAACTGGCCATCACCTTGGCAGATGACAACATATAAAACTCGCACGGTACTGAAATATAGTTTCTCGCTAGATTCTTGCCGAATTCATGTGTACGATCTAACATTCTACGTGGCACATTCTGCTTTGAGATGGCAACGGGGAATTTTCCGTCGGAGAATGCCTCTCCATCCCCGTCCCCGTCCCCGTCCCTGCCAAAGCTCATGGGGACACTTTCTCCCCCATCCCCGTCCCCACATGTGGAAAATTCCCCGTCGGTATCCCCGTCCCCGCCAAAGCTCACAGGCTCAATCATCTATTGTGTGGTCATAGAAGATCTTGAGAAGTGACGTGAAGGAAAAATCCATGGCGCTGGTGACAAGTAAGTCTTATCTGAAGCTCCAGTGCCTACCTGCTTCAAGAAACCACCGCTGGCCTAGGGGACCCGCGCTGCACGCATTGCTGCCTGTAGGGTGCCACGCGCGGTTGCCGTTAGGGAGCCACACGTGATGCTCCTCTGCTGCCGCTGGGGAGCCAGACGCGGATGCGTCACCGCTGTTGGAGGGTCGCGCGGGTGCTCCCATGGGGTCACCTTGTGGACTGCAGTAGCGCGCGGGGTGTGGTGCAGGAGGCATGTGGCTAAGCAATGTGGCGGCGGCGGGCGAGACAAGGAGAGGAGAGGATGAGGACTGGGGGCAGTTAAGTTTTCTGCTGCTTATATATGTATGTTCGACTTGGGCTTTGATGGGCCGAGTAAACAGGCTGTATAGGCTTTGAGAAACGGGGACGTGGGGAAACGGGGACGGGGGATAGTCTACCAGACCCGGCCCCGTTAGACCCAACGGAGGAAGATTTCCTACCATTTAAATCCCCGTGGGGGGTTAATTGATCCCATCCCCGTACCCTAATAGGGGAATTCCCCGCGGGGAATCGGGGATCGGGCCCCATTGCCATCTTTAGTTCTGCTCTCCACCAAAAAGATCTTGGGCTTTCATTTGTATATATGCATATATATAATATGTACTTCGATCGAAACATTGCAAAAATATATATAGATTGGTCTGAAAAGATCTGTTAATAATACTTGTTCAAATTTGCATATATTGCAATAGAAAACCATAGTGAAATCTATGTTCTGTAGACCATGTGGTTGTCTAGAAGAACTTATGGTTTTAGCGACGTCCTACAAGGGAATTATTGTATCTCTGATTGTGCAAAAGGGATGATCCATTTTATGTTCAGTTGAGAGCGATGGGTCCATCTCTATTTTTCTGTTAGGTTATCAAGCCAAAAGATATATAGATATTTAACACCGTCAGTCACTGTCAGCTATATTTGAGGCTGCTACGTACGTGTAGAGTTTGTTCCAAGGTTCATCTTTTCCGTGATAGGCTACGCATGCAAATTAGTTAATTTAAAAAAATCTATAAAAAGTAATGGCTCATATTGTATTATCTAGTATATAGTAGGTACAGTGAATACCGTAGCATATGCAACCAAACACATAGTACAACAATCATAGGAACATGGACAACAAGGTGGTGAGTTTGCAACATACCAATCGTGAAAGGACAAAGATTCTTGACAAATACAATGATCCAAACTGACACATGTTTTCACTTTCGCCGACTCGTGAGGGGCAGCCTGGCATTAGGACTAGAACTAGATTGTTTTGCCCTAAACAAGGACTATAGCCAGTTTTTATCACAGTGCTTAAAACAATTCAGATCGGAGAGGTTAGCTGCAGGTCAGTGGGATCCCACCAGCGATGTCGACGGGCATCGTTTTCCCCTGATCCTTGG